CCCTGCCCTCACAAAACATCACGGGAGCCATACTAAAAACTGGGGACCTTTGGATCCTTGCCCTGCCACTCCCACACAATCATGGGAGTGAGGTTGAGCTCCAGGGAACTTCTCGATCTTTGAAAGTGACAAAATGAAGGACCAAAATGCAACCTCAGATCTCTACTTCACCCTCAACAAGTCCAGAATACATCAACACTGAGAACCTGGTAGTCATACACCAGAAATTTCTGAAATGATAGTAACTGAAGTAAAGAAACAACTCCATCAGAAGACATAAGATCTGAAATAATCTCTCAGGTAAAAAGAGAAATGACAACAACAATGAAAGGACTGCTCAGCACATCTAAAGAAAACATAGATAAAATAATAAAGAAGCATAGAAAGATGATGGACACCTTGAATGAACAATATAGACAAGAGTTAGAATGCATAGAGCAGATTCAAATAGATATCCAGGAAATTAAAAATTCCATCAAAAGCTGACAAAACTGAAGATAGACTTTCAGACCTTGAAAACAGCATTGCAGCTAACTATCATGAAAGGAAGGATCTGTTAAAAATAACAAGGCACCAGGAAATAAAAATTCAACAGTTGCAAGATGATGCAACCAAAAACAATGTAAGATTAGTAGGTGTCAGTGAAACAGCAGGAGTCAACACAAATGACATAAAAAGAATATTTGCAGAAGTAATAGCTGGGGCTGGGGATTTAGCTCAGCGGCAAAAAGCGCCTGCCTGGCAAGCGCAAGGTCGTGAGTTCAGTTCCCGGTACCGGAGAAAAACAAAAAAAAACAAAAAAACAAACAAACAAAAAAAAAAAAAAAAGTAATAGCTGAAAATATCCCAAGAATAGAAAAAGAATCTGACGTAAAGAAAAGTGAGGCAGGGGGCTGGGGATTTAGCTCAGCGGCAAAAGCGCCTGCCTGGCAAGCGCAAGGTCGTGAGTTCAGTTCCCGGTACCGGAGAAAAACAAAAAAAAACAAAAAAACAAACAAACAAAAAAAAAAAACAAGAAAAGTGAGGCATATAGAACTCCAATTAGCCATAAACAAAATAAATCCTCATCCAGACATATAGTGATCAAGATCCCAGATATTCAGCAAAAGAACAGAATATTAAAAGATGTTAGAGAAAAGAAACAGATGACCTATAAAGGAAAGCCCATCAAAATCATGGCAGATTTCTCAATAAAAGCCATCAAGTCAAGAAAAGCTTGGAATGAAGTATTTCAGGCCTGAAAGAAAACCACCTCCAACCTAGACTGATGTACCCTGCAAAACTATCATTCAGAATTAGTGGAGAGATAAAATATTTCCACAATAAAGGACAACTGAAGAAATGCATGAGTGCCAAACCACCCCTACAAAGAGTACTGAAAGATACTCTAGAATGACATAAAAATGACCAAAACTTCAAGAACAACAACAGAAAGGAACCACCAAGCAGAGCAAGAAATTAAATGGAGAGAAAAAAGAGTAATTAACAATAGGAAAATAACATGACAAAGATAACCTAATACATATCAGTTATAACCATCAATGTACATTGTCTCAATTCATGAATCAAAAGATGCAGACTGGCAGAATGGATCAAGAAACAAAATCCAACAATATGCTATTTACAAGAAACACATTTAACTCAAAAGAAAATTCCTAGAGTGAAAATAAAAAGATGGAAAACAATACTTCATGCAACAAGAACCCAGAAAAAAGTGAGTGTAGTTATTCTGTTTACAGACAATGTGAACTTCAAACCAGGAAAGATCAAAAGAGATAAAGAAGATCACTGCATACTTGTTAGGGGAAAACTTCAAGAGGAAGTGATAACAATCATAAACATCTATGCACCAAATACAAAACCACCCCACTGTGTAAGAAATTTTAACAGGCATGAAAAATGAAATAAGCAGTAAAACAATCACAGCAGGGCATTTGAACACTCCCTTGTTACAAAGAGATAGATCAACTAGACAAAAAGTCAACAAAGAAATAATAGAACTAAACCAAACTTGTGAACAAATGGACTTAGTAGACCTTTACAGAGTGTTCCATCTGACAACAAAAGAATATACAGTCTTCTCAGCTGCATACAGGTAGTTCGCTAAAACAGACCATGTACTAGCACGTACAACAGGCTTAAGTAAATGCAAAGGAAATTAATTTATCCCATGCATAATATTGGACCACAGTGCAATGAAATTGGAAATTAATGACAAAAGGAACCACAAAAACTCCATACACACATGGAAATTAAATAAAACCCTCCTGAACAACCAATGGGTCACACATGAAATTAAAGAAGAAATTAAATAATATCTACAATCAAACAAAAATGTAAATACAACTAACCAGAATCTCTGAGATGCAATGAAAGGGGTCCTCCAAGGGAAATTTATAGCAGTGAACTCACACATCAGATGAACAGAATGAGAATACACAAATAGCCTAATGTTACACCTCAAACTTATAGAAAAAGAGGAGTAACTGAAGCCCAAGGCCAAAAGAGAGCAAATTAAAAGACAGGGCAAAAATTAAGGCAATTGAGACTAGGAAAAAAATACAAAGAATTAATAAATTGAAGAGTTGGTTCTTTGAAAGTATAAATAAAATTGATAAACCCCTAACCAACTTTATCAAAAAAAGGAAAGAAAAAACTGGAATTCATGCAATAAGGAATGAAAAGGGTGAAATTACTACAGATACTGTGGGAATTTAGAAGATCATCAACACTTACATCACAAATCTTTACTCTAATAGGACAGAAACCAGAAGGAATAAATAAATTCCTAGATATGTATGAATTACCCAATCTGAATTTAGAAAATATAAAAATTCTGAATAACCCAATATCAGTTAATGAAATTGAAAATGTCATTTAAAAACCTACCAACAATGATAAGACCAGGTCCTGATGGATTCACAGCTGAATTCCACAAGAAATTTGGAGAAGGGGCTGGGGATTTAGCTCAGCGGCAAAAGCGCCTGCCTGGCAAGCGCAAGGTTGTGAGTTCGGTTCCCGGTACCGGAGAAAAACCAAAAAAAAAAAAAAAAAAAAAAAAAAAGAAATTTGGAGAAGATTTAGTGCCAATCCTTCTCAAACTCTTCAATGAAATTGAAAGCAAAGCAATTCTCCCTAACTCATTTCTGGAGGCAGGTGTCACCCTAATGAAAAATCAATCCAAAAAAGAGAACAACAAGTCAATCTCCTTAATGAACATAGATGCAAAAATATTCAATGAAATAGTAGCAAACAGAATGCAGCAAATCATGAAGAAGATTATACACCATGATCAAGTGGGATTCATCCCAGGGATGCAGGGATGGTCCAAAATGTGCAAATCAATAAATGTAACACACCATATCAACAGAGCCAAAGACAAAAAACATATGATCATCTCAATAGATGCAGAAAAAGCTTTAGACAAGCCCAATACTAATTCATTATAAAAATCCTACAGAAAATTGGAATAGATGGTCTTTACCTCAATCTAGTTAAAAACATCTATCACAAATCAACAGCCAACATCATAATAAATGGACAAAAACTAAAAGCTTTTCCTCTAAAATCAGGGACAAAACAAAGATATCCACCATCATCATTCCTATTCAATATTGTTCTGGAAACATTAGCCATAGCAATTAGACAAGAGAGAGAAATAAATAAAAGGAATAAGAATAAGAAAGGAAGAAGTTAAATTGTCATTATTTGCAGAAGACATGATACTCTACATGGAAGACCCCAAAATTACACCAAAAGACTCCTAGAAGTAATAAACAAATTCAGTAGCATAGCAGGAATCAAAGTCAACACTCAAAAATCAATAGCGTTGCTGCACACAAACAACAAACTCACTGAGAGAGAAATTAGGGAAACCACGTACTTCACAATGGCGTCCAAAAAATGAAATGCGTAAGAATCAATGTAACAAAGGAAGTAAAAGATTTATACACTGAAAAGTATAATACTCTGAAAAAAGATTAAAGAGGACCTCAAAAAATGGAAAGCTATTCCTTTCTCATGGATAAGAAGAAACAACATAATGAAAATGGCCAGACTCCCAAAACCGTTATACAGATTTAATGATATCTTGATCAAAATACAATTAGCATACCTCACAGATCTAGAGAAAACATTCCTAAAATTCATTTGCAACCAGAAAAGACCTAGAATAGCAAAGGCAATCCTGGCCAACACAGGCAAGGCAGGAGACATCACAATCCCTGATTTAAACTACTACAAAATTACTGTGATAAAATCAGTATGGTACTGGCAAAGTAATTGTACTTCTGGTTTCCATTGCTTTACTCAAAGGAACTGTTAAGGCTTAATTTTTTTTTATCTTTGACCAATTTTACGTGCTTATATCTGGTAATCTGAGCAACTGCTTTGAGGACAACAATATGCAATATAACAGTCATTGTTGAGTTCCTATCATCTTGTTTTTTGCAATTCAGTATCATCTCTAATTTTTAAATTATTTTTATTCTCTTTAAAATAAAGTAAAAATGGAAATTACTTAAAATTAGGATAAAAGTAAAAAATATGGATAGCAACATGTCCTTTCTGGAACATGTCATGCTTTCACAGTGGAACATTTTTGCATCAATTTAAAACAGGATTATTTAATTTTTTAAGACATAGCACTTTTTTGAGTTTGTGAGTTTTATTTAAGAGCTCAAGTTTGTGAAGCAATAAGTTAACATGGTCAATTTTATTTTAATAGAGAAGGTATCTTCAAAGATTATAGTTTCCTTGCTTTGTTGGTCATTTTCATAGTTACTTTCTCATTGCTGGGACAAAATCTCTGACATCAGTGAACTGAAGGAGAGGTTAACTTGGCTCACAATCTGCACAGTTTTCCACTCATAACTGGCTGACTGTCAGGCAGGGTGGCTGACAGAGGAAAGAAAACCCACAGCCTTGCAGGCAGGAAGTGGGCAGCGCCGAGGAAGAAAGAAGGATGCGTGTGGACATTCCCTTCCTGACCATGCCCACAGCAAGCCAGCACCTCTCATCAGCATCACCTCGAACTGCTGCACCTCCAGCCATTACGGTCTGAGGACTAACCTAACGCCACAAGCGCATGGCCCAGTCAGCTCCCAGCAGCCCCGCTAAGAGCACAAGCGCCTTTGGAGGGATATTAAGGTATAAGCCACAGCAGACACTAACCAGTTTCTAGTGTCAGCTAGCAACCTTATGCCAATGCTTTTTTCTATTACCTGTAAAGACTGTACTTCAAATGTTTGGGCAAATATTTCATATTCTCTTTGGTTTATTTATACTTTGGTTAGTAACTTTGAGCCATATTAATTCTATCTTGGAATAAGTCATATTTTTCACTTTTTAAAGCACTTTATGTTAACTTTAACTATTAGAAATATTATTCTGAGGTAGAAAATTTGTAGTATTTTTTCCTCATATTCCTGTTAAATTCTCCAACTTCATTTAATATCATTTTCCCCTTAGATTTTCATCATATATTTATGCTATGAAATCTTTCATAAATTGACAATAAAGAAGGTATTGAAAAATATTATTCACATACTAGGTAATATTTCAGAACCATCGAGGCTTTTTCTTATCAACCAAGATACTATTATTTGTGGTCTATTTACATATGCAGATGTTGTTTTGTATCTATTAACTATTGTTTGTTTTTCACTAAGGGGTCTTTATGGTGGTCAACTTTATAATGCTGACATGCCAGTTTTGAGAGAATGTGTGTGAATACTGACCAGTGTATTTACTCTAGACGTCCAAAGATGCAATTTAAGTTGATAATTTGGGTAGTTACTGGATTTTTTCTTTTTTTGCTTTTTGAAACAGGGTCTTCCTTTGCAGTTCAGGCTGGCCTTGAGCTCACTTTGTAGCCCAGGCTGATCTCAAACTCACAATGATCCTCCTGCCTCAGCCTCTTGAGTGCTGGTATTACAGACTTGAACCATCATGCCTGGCTAGATTTTTTTTTATTATGATATTTCATGGCTGTTTCTCCTTTTAAAAATCTTCTAGGTAGAGTTTCATAGTTTAACATTTATCTACGGACAAGATTTCATTATTTTCTTCAGAACAGATCATTGCATCTCTAACTAGCTGTTAGAACAAATCATATTTCATTTTAATTATATATTATTACATTGTCTTTCAAATGGTGAACAACACATTTTCCTGTTAAATTTTAGTTGCCTCAATTCTGTAGTTGAAAGCCAAGGTTTTATATATATATATATATATATATATTATACCAGAAAGAAATATGACTTAATAGAGCACAATTTTGAGAAATAGAGTATCCCTAATTCTTCTGTGAATTTAAAGGCGTTAGGGTACTCTCACCATAAAAATATGCTCATTATTACTTTTTCTCTTTAACTAACCTTCCTATCTTGCTCTGTATTCTATGAAAAAGTTTTTCACACTAAATTAGGATCATGGAACAAACCAACAGTAGAAATTGAACCATAGTTTTACTTATTAATGGTCTATCTGTAAAAATAAGGTCAGCTTCAATTAATAATTTGAAAATAAATAGCTATGAAAACAGTCTAACCACTATATAGGAATTTGTTTTCCACGCTCAGGTTTGTGTGTCACGCTGAGCCTATGTGCTGCCTTCGTTGCCACTTCCAGGGAGAGTGACACATACTGGTCTTTATAGTAGGCATTTTGTGCACATTTCTAATTCTTTCATCGAGTTTGAAAGATGGAAGCTTCTATCTCCAGAGCTAGCTATTTATTGACTGATTGATTGATCAACGATAAAGAAAGTGATTCAGAATAACTTGGCAATTTGTGCTGAAGGCCGCAGAGCAACATTACACTCACACTCTGTCGCAGTCCTTGTGTGAGCCCTACCATTTCCAACAGATTAGAATTTGGGAATGTGGAACTCTGGAGCAGCCAGCTGTGTGACACAGTCAGTCATGTCACTCCTCTACATCTTTGCTTCTCAACAGGAAAAGCGTGTGGTCAGGCTGTGCCGGCAGACTTCTCTTCTAACTTCTCTTCTATATCACATTTGATGCACATTTTTGTCTTTACACTGTATCTGTTTTGAGCTTGTCACTTGATCCTTTAAGGAAAAAAATACAACTTTAAATTTTCTCTCAAAACTTGGTCCTCACTTGTTTGTTTTCTTAAGAACACATATCAAAGCCACTTTTTCCACACTGTTACATCACAGTCCACCTAGAACTTTGCAACTGACTCCCATGCTTGTATATTTAGAGTGAGTTCTATTCATTGTGTGAATAAACACTGCAGAGTTAGACAAAACACTGTGATTGACACAAGTGGTATTAATAATCTCTTTTAAAATCCCTATCTGCAAAACAATAACTTGTCTGAAAGAAATGTATGTTTTCTCATTCAGTTTCAGCATCAATATGCTTCATAGACATTAAACAGAGAACAGTTCCTAGTTCCTTCAGAGTTTTTCATGAAAACATATTAGGCAACTAGTAATGGAAAATAAAATTAAAACACTAACACATAGATTGTGATGAAAGAAAAAAATTCATGCTCAGAATAAAATAAAATTGTTGACATTGGATTTATAGAAAGTTACATGTATCCACTCAGAGCTGAGTGTAACAAAATATGATTTATGTGCAATATTTTTGCTACATAATTTATTAGGCAAAAAGTGGAATATAGTCAGCATATGGTGACTTAATTTGGGAAGATTTAAGCACAATTCAGCTCTAGTTTATGCCATATTTGAATAGAATATGTGTCTTCTGTCTGCCCATTCCCATCCCAGCGGTCAACCCTTAGACTGAGACACATCACATTTTATAAACCTTCTCTACTGCTTTCCTTATTCTTTGTTTTTAGCCTTTGGAAAGTAATGGCTTCGTATGCTGCACCCTTTTCCCACAGAGTGCAAGTACTGTGCAGTGCGCTTCAACTAAGATAAATAAGTAGCAGGACTGGTTTGTTTTTTATTTATTTATTTTTAAATCCTGACTTTCTTCAGATCCTCTGTGAAGTAAAGAAGAGGGGTGGACAGAGCAGGTCCTGGCAACGCTGTAACATTGTTTCAGACATGCGTGGCGTGCTCTATAATTTGCTTATTGATCTCAATAATGAAGACCAGAAAATTACATCCTTTCTTGTCTGTAGAACTATGAATCACAGGTTGTTCCACCACTGTCAAATTAAACAACTTGCCTGTGACTGTAAAAGAATTCATGTAGAAACTGAAATGCTCATGAGCGTCCTGTTTGAGCCAGTAGATCATTCCTGGGAAATGCAGTCAGCCTGGCTTTCCATAGCTGAGCCATCTCCTGAAAGGCAGGTCAGAAAACTGTCCTCTTTTCAGCTTCTAGTGCTGCCACGGTGTTTGAATCCTGGTTTTTCTGAAGCCTGTGCCAGGTACTTTTCTGTCCTGGAATTAAAGGCTCAAAAACAAATTTTAAAAAATCGAGCCTAGCACTGAACACTGTAAGACTAGTTTCTGTCTAAAATCTCCCAGCTGGTACCAGAAACAACTGTTTTCTAAGCTAACATTTGAATATCCAAGTTCTCTCCCATGGGTTTAGTTTTCCTATTCCCTAAACTCAGACTCATTGAGCTTTAGCTCCAGAAGCAGACTCTCATTCCAACACACACGGTTGTTTCTAGAACCTGTTTAAGGGACAGAACTAACAGTGAGTCCTGAATTCCCAGCAGAGCGGCACCCCAAACTGCATTCTTCTTTTGGAATGCAGTGAAGGATCACATATTATGAAAGTGATCAATGGTAAAAGCCATTTATTTATAAGCAAATAATCCATTTACTTATTTCACTTATGAGTATGGTCTCTAGTTGCATCCATTAATCTATGAAAGCTTTGAGTTTATCGGTCTTTATAGCTGAGTAATACTGCGTTGTATAAAAATACCACATCCTTTTTATCCATTCCTCTGTGGATGGACATTTGAGTTGTTTCCAAGACTTAGCTATGACAAATTGTGCTGCTATAAACATGGGTGCACATATGTCAGTGTGGTGTGGTGTTTTTAATTCCTGTGGGAAAATACCTAGAAGGGGAATAGCTGGGTTTAGTGGGACTTCTAATGCTATCTGAGCAATTTTGTTGAAGATAGCAATATGTAATATAACAACCACTGTTAATTCCTATCATTTTGTTTTGAAACCCTGTATCATTTTTATTGTTTTTGCTTTGCTTTGTTTTTGTCTATGTTGTTGTTATTTTGTTATTTTTTTCTTTTTTATTCTCTTTAAAATAAAAAAGCCAAATATTTATCTGAATCTAGTCTTCTTATTAGATTCTGAAAAATAATGCAAGTTGCAATGTGCAATTTTACCACAACTTCTCCTTGAAACCACGTGAATCATCTTGTCAAATTTCTCAAACTCCCTAGACTTCAGTTTCCCTATGTACATGTAGAAGTTTTCTGATGCTTTAGGTGTTTTAACAATCATAATTTTGTGTATTTTAGGGACTAATATACTCTGAAGCATACGTTAATTCAACAATTTGAAAATAACTACAAGTGAAAGATTTTAATCATTTTGGATAACTTTGCTGTTTATATTTATACTTATGCAATCTCTTGTTTATTTTTTAATCACTCAAAATTAAACATGGCAATTTTTGCCCATGAGATTTTAAATTTTTATACTCATTTAACCTAGGTAAATAATTAAACAGTTAATTACAACTCGTATATGAGTACTCAGTATAAAACTTTTCTTGTTCAGGAATTGCTTTCTCTATGTTGACCTACATTTCCTTACTGAAAATGAAAAGTGTTCACAATCATCAACTTAAAACACCAGTTTTTAAAGTTTAAATTTGTTTCATTAAAATAACAGCATTTATTCCACCAAAAAAAGTGCCAATTATTTTTATATTTTTGAAAAGTTTAAAGCTATTATAGATACTATGTTATTTAAAGAATAACATATATGAAATAGGTGGAGTTTCATATTTGAAGTATATTTGCTATATAAGAAAGAGGGAATATTAAAGATCATACTTATTGCAAGGACTTAATCCATGGAGTCTTAGTAAACTTGCAATTTTAAGACAACAGTGATTCTTTTCACCTATATTAGTACTTATAAGTGAAATTATTCAAAGTATTTATGATCATATTGATTAGACATAATCTTCTGTCAAGCAGATTCTTAAAAA